TCTTATTTTATTTTTAGTTTGGCTCCACAAATCTATTGTAATCTGTGAACATATATCCATATGACCAGTAAATATACTGTTAAGTGCATCATATTCTTAAATCACTGCTGGTTGATGGATTTTTATACATGGATGTCCTTTACCACTCATTAAAGTAATAGGTGTAACAGCCTCTCGGAAAAGTAATGCTTGCCTCCAATTAAGTTATTTCATGTTTTAAAAGTACTTTCATGTGTATCATCTGAGAATGGAATATAAAAATAAAAATCCCATTCTCTGCTACCTCTATATTTTCACAGATTTTCTTCTGACCTCTTAGTCTTTGCCTTCATGTATATAATTTTAGTACATTTTTTAAAAAATTATCTTTTAGTATGTTAAACCCATAGTCATACTTTAATTTTGGGTGTGACTGGCATTTCTTATGCTGCATTTTTTTTTCTATTTATATATTTCTCTTCTAGGTTGCTGACCAAAACTGATGTTTGATGGAAAGTACACTAGATTAAAGATTTAGAGAGTTAGGTCCCATTTTTGTATTTGCTACCAGTGTCACCTCTTGGGGCCTTAGATTCTTTACCTATCTATTAAAGTATTTGCACTTGTTAATTTCTAACATGATTCCAAATACTGAAATGTTCTGATTAAAAACATATGGATAATATATAAAGATGATTATAAAAAAAGTGGTAATCAATGTAAAATTGAATGCAGGATTTTCTTGCTGTTGATAATAGGCATACTATGAAAGGTAGTATTTGTTTAGATTATGAAAGAAAAATTTTAAACATACTTTGAATCAATGTAAAATTGAATGCAGGATTTTCTTGCTGTTGATAATAGGCATACTATGAAAGGTAGTATTTGTTTAGATTATAAAAGAAAAATTTTAAACATATAAAGTTCAAAGACCTAAAAGCAGACCTACCATTTGATCCAGCAGTCCCTCTACTGGATATCTACCCAAAGGAAAAGAAGTCATTTTATTAAAAAGACACCTGTACTCAAATGTTTACTGCAGCACAATTCACAATTGCAAAGATGTGGAATCAACCCAAGAGCCCATGAATTCATAAGGAGATTAACAGAATGTGGTACCTGTATACCACAGAGTACTACTCAGCCATAAAAAAAAGATGAGTTAATGCCTTTTGCAACAACTTGGATGGAACTAGAGACCATTGTCCTAAGTGAAGTATACCAAGAATAGACAAACACCACATGTATTTGCTATTAAACTGGAACTAACCAATGAGTACACATGTGCACAGAAGAATGTAAATCAAGCATGGGGAAGGGGGAAAAGAAGGGGAGAGGCAAAAACCTACATAATGGGTACAGTGAACACTACTTGGGTGATAGGCACACTTATAGCTGTGACACAAGCATCACAAAAGCAAACAATGTAACCAAAAACATTTGTACCA